TAAAAAAGGGCTAGACTGTAAATATTTGAGGCACAAGAGCCTAATGACCAAGGACCAAGGTATGGGGTGGGAGGGTGTGTGGAGGGAATGGGAGGAGAGGAGGGAGTGGGAATTTGGATTGGAATTTTTTTTTTAAATCTATTTAAAAAAAAAAAAAAAGAACCTAATGACCTCTGCTAAAGTTACTACACTCTCGCAATACATACATAAGCCTGGCTAAGTCCCAATAAAATACAAACACAGCTATCAGAGAGGACATGGTGGTGAGTCACAGTTTGGAAACTGCAAATCAGAGTTTAGGAGGGGAGTGGGGATTGTAGCACTGTAATAGAGCACCTGCCTGACCCATAGACCTCTGGGTTCCATCTCTTCACACTAAAAACCAACAACAACAACAACAACAACAACAACAAAAAAAAAACCTGCACAAAACAGACGTACCTTTGTATACTCGGTGATTGCTTCGATCAGAGCATATGTGGTTTGGGACAGAAAGGTGGAGGTGCTATCTGTCACCAAAGACACAGCCCTCCTCATTAAGGCGTCGTTACTAAGAGATTGAGGCTCCGATTTCTGAAAGACAAACAGTCACTCAATTTCCAACCTGAATAAAGCTTAAGACAAGAACTGCATGGTCTCAGGAGAGCGCCCAGCCCTGTGCTTCGTGTGAATGAACCCACAGCAGCACACTTCTTTGGGGTAACTTTTTAGGCTTTCTATGTGGTGACTTAAGATAGCATAGGAATATAATCTCTCGACATTCATTCTCCTAGAAAACTGAGTGTCAAGGGAACTGTGGCAGTCACGGGAAACTACCAGTCCTGTGTTGGGGTGTTACCGGCAAAGACTTCCAAGAGCTGATGTGACTGAACTCACAGTGAGTGGGTGGACGTGGGGAGACTGCTGGGGTGGGGGAAGATCTAGTCACTATAACCTCAGCTATTGCATGAAATCCCGGCCAGGCGGAGGTTGTGCACGCCTTTAATCCCAGCATTGGGGAAGCAGAGGCAGGTGGATCTCTGTGAGTTCAAGGTCAGCCTGGTCTACAGAGTGAGTTCCAGAACAGGCTCCAAAGCTACAGAGAAACCCTGTCTCGAAAAACCAAAAACAAAAATCACTAGAACCCTCCATCGGAATTATGGGATCTGGTCACTCCAGCTCAAAACCACTGCCATTCAACATCTCAATAACTTCCTTTCCTTCTCAACAGAGACCTCGCTGTATCCAAACCAACCGCTCTACTTACTGTCTTAGTCTTGCTGAAGAGAGTTGTAAAACTCTGGAGTAACTGTTAAAAGCAGCATAAGTAAGAAATGGTTTTTAATATGTGAATAAATTAAAAAAATCATCCTAGTTGGGCAGTGGTGGTGCACGTCTTTAATCCCAGCACTCAGGAAGCAGAAACAGGTGGATCTCTGTGAATTTGAGGCCAGCCTGGTCTACAGAGCAAGTTCTAGGACAGCCAAAGCTACACAGAGAAACAGTGTCTTGGAAAAAAAATTCATTCTATTTATCTATCTGTCTGTCTGTCTATTTATCACATATGAAGAGCACTCCGATCAACAACTCTGCTCACAAGGAGGGAAACGCTGACACAGCATCTTGAAGTCCTGAGTGTAATGATGCTAACTTTACAATGTGTTCTCACTCATTTCTCCTTTTACAGACGATGAAATCCACACACACAACAGCCAGGAAACTTTCCCTAGAAATCAAATAGCTAGTTAAATCTCAATGCAAACTCTCTCTGAAGGCTGTACTCTTTCTCTTATGTTCTGCTGACCCAACACGGTGCCAGACACGATCACCAAACATCACAACATACATTTATCTAGCAGCTGTCAGAAGAGGAGGAGAGCTGACCAGGAACTGAGAAAGGCTTTAAAGGGATGTGACTTGAACTTGAAGAAGCTAAGGTCCTTGGAAGGAAGGAAATGAAAGCCTGGTAGGCATGAGAGAAATGAAACTGGTTAAGGCACGGAGTGCAGGCAGAAGTAGACACAGTGTAGCTGTGTGTAGCACTAATGGGGCTCCTGAGAGCAGATCACAGCAGCTCCAGTCTGGTGGCCCAGGACTGGCTAGTACGTGGGACTCAGAACACAGTGCATCAACAGAAAAGAGGACAAACCCCACAATTCTCAGAAAGAAAAAAAAATGCTAGGGACTCAGCCGTTAAGGAGGCACTTGGCTGCTCTAAGGACTCTCGCCAACACACTCGTTCTTCCTATGAGACCCACTTCTCTGTTCTTCTCCATTTGCTGCCTGCCAGCTGGTACCGCCATCTCATCTAGACCTTTACTCTCTCCAGATAAACAATAACCTTAAAACCTATACAGGATCATAATATTCCAAGAACAATCCTTTGTGATCTATTTAGAATAAAATCCAGAGCCTCACAATGACCCACACAATTCAAATCACAGTATCTGATCCCTGGTCACCTCTGAGGCCTCACCTTTTCCTCATTCCATTCCGTTCACCTTGTTTTGTTACACACCACACAAAATTCAGCTTCCAGGCTTTTGCCCCTAATCCCTCTGCCGCAGGCTTCTGCCTTAGGTAGCTTTCTCGAAGCACCCTGACATGAAGCTGTCCCGAACCACTGCACCCTATTTCCTTCAGAGTACATCATCAGCTAATCTCTCTTTCTTTCTGTATTTTGTTTGTTTGTTTTGTTTTTCAAGACTGATTTCTCTGTGTAGCCCTGGCTGCCCTGGACCAGGTTGGTCTCAAACTCAGATTCGCCTGCCTCTGCCTCTGGGATTAAAGGCATTTGCCACCACTGCTGGGCTTTTTTTTTTCTTCTCCTTTTTGGTGTGCTTTTTTGAGACATCTCAAGATGTAACTAACACAAGCTAACCTTATGATTTTGATTTTCCTGCCCTAGCCTCCCCAGTGTTGGGATTACAGGAATATACCACCTCACTCAACTTATGCTTGCTTATTTTCTACCCAGAATGTATGTTTTATGATAGCAAGAATCTGTATTTTCACATACTCTTACCTTCCCAGTGTATGGCACAAACAAGTTGTTCTGTAAAGTTTTGCTGAATGACAGGCTTCTGCCAACAGACTATCTTTCTTTTATCTCATTCTATCCTTTATGCAACTTGGAACTGGGTGGTGGTGGCACTCGCCTTTAATCCCAGCACTTGGGAAGCAGAGGCAGGCGGATTTCCGAGTTCAAAGCCAGCCTGGTCTACAGAGAGAGTTCCAGGACATGCTGCAAAGCTACACAGAGAAACCCTGTCTCGAAAAACAAACAAAAACAAGCAGCAACTTGAAGTACTGTTTATGCCAGTACTGACTAGGTGACTGGAACTTGATTCCTGGGTAACCCTCTGGCCTCACCTATTAAACAGTTCCACTACTAGCCCGCCCCTCCCCTTCCTAATATCATCTTTGAAGACAGGACGCCTACACAAGCAAGTTAGTCTGAACTGGTGGGTGCCTCTAACTAACTTCCTCCTAGTTCCAAGGAGAGTAAAAGATGCACTCTCCAGTGCCAAGGCAGTGGAGGATTAACTCAGTGAAAACTAAACCATAAAAACCTAGAGAAGTGCCCTGTGAATTCCCAGGACAGTCACCCATTCTCAGAAAACCATGGTCACTCCTTCCCTGTTCCAGCCTTCAATTCTTTTACACTGTATCTTTAACGTCCGGACCCCCAAAGGTTGAGAAGCTCATTTGCAAAGTTAATCTTCTACTTCTATGTTTGCTACAAGGATAAATGTCTACTTCCCAGTTCAAACGATGCTCAATTTCAATGGTTCCTCGATTCAGGGGTGGTGGAGCAGGGACAAAAAGCGGAAACTACTGTTTCTACAAGTGAGACAATGAAAACGGGAAATCTGCTCAACTCTGAGAAGATGCTGGTACAGTACAACGCATAGCATCATGGGAGGTGGCACTTGGGAAACTAAAGCAGCTTCACTAAGACCGGGAAAATCACATGACCGCCCCTTACCTGAGCGATAGGGACTGCACATAGGGTCACGCCGAATCCAGTCAACATAGTTTTGTGCCATGGCCTTATCAATTCTGAGAAACAGCGTTTCTTTGAGTTAGCCACGACAGGAACACGCTGTCCATACCTGGAAATATAAGTCAAATTTTAAAAAGCACAAATCAATGTGTAAAAGGCTCGAGTCGGTCCAGGCAGCGGCTAAATGAGGAGGTAGCAGCGGTCTTCCAAGAAAATAAACCACAGGGTGGCCTATTAAGTCCCAGAAACGGACAGAGGTGGTGGCAAGCCTTAGTCTCAGCACTCGGGAGTCAGAGGCAAGTGACGTGAGTTCCAGGCCAGCAAGAGCAACAGGCGCTTTCCACTAGGTGGAGAAGTTTAAAAGTTGCCTCCGAGCTGCTTAGCAACTTGACGCCAAGATAAAACTCTCGTGCTCACAGGACTTAGCCCTGAACCCTGGGCCTGGGTTCCAGGGGTCTCGAATGGTCCCTGCGAGCAAGGTCCTGGAGGCAGCAGCCGGAGAGGGCCGCTGGCGTCGGGCGCCCGTGTTTCCTGGGTCGTGCGCTAACCGCGCGCTGCCAGCCCAGGCCTGAGCCAACGCCGTGGCCCGTCTGTCCCTCGGTGTCCTCGGGGACTCTGAGCTGACTGGAGGGTCAACGGGCTTGGAGGACCCGCTTTCGGGAACTCGTGATGGAGGACTGGGATGGAGGCGGAGGCGGCACCCTCCGCAAACTTCGGAGGGAGGCGGGACGCGGCGGACCGCGGCCAACGCGCAGGCCGGCGCCGCGGACCCGGCTCCTCTCCGCCGCTTCCAGCCGTCTGCTGCCACTGCCGTACCTGAACAGGGAGGCCACGCTCCGGGACATCCAACTCCTCAGAGCCGCCATCCCGCGGCGGACGGACAGCGGATGCACACGCCGGAAGTGACGCAGCATAGCGAGCAGCCCGGCGAGCGCGGCCGGCTCCAGGGAACCCTGGGCTTCATGGCCACGCCCTCACTAGAGGACGCAGTTGCGATTGGACAGGCGGAAAGGGCGGGACAGGAGCGCTAGGAAACGGCTGTAACGGTCGCACCTGGCGTTCAACCGCTCGCACTTCGGCGCGGGACGCGGCAGGTCCCC